TCCTTCCCCCCCCCGCCTGTTGTCCCATCCTCCTCTTCGGTTTCCTCCATTTTATTATGCTTATGATTGTTATTTCGGTGACTAGTACTCTTCTTCTTCTTAGTACCTTCCTCTTCCTCCTCCTCCTCCTCCTCCTCCTCCTCCTCCTCCTCCCCCCTCGATATAGAAATCTTTTGGCTGTTTGGCCACACGGCAAACTCCTCCTCCCTTATGCCTCCCCCATACCTCTTCCGTCTCCTCCTCCCTCTCCTCTATCATCTTTCACCCGTTATCCTTCCTATTCCTCCTCATTGCCCTCCCTCCTTCTCCTCCTCCTCCGCTGCCTCCTTCTCGGCGTCCGCCCCCCCCCCCTCGCCGAAGCAAGAAGCACGTGACGCTCGACACCGTCATTAACGATTATGGGGTGGGATCGCCAGGCAGTGGGTCCCAGGTAGCCCACGACCTCACGGAGGCAGCGACGGCCCTCGAGAAGGCCGTCGTTCACGATAGCGGGTGCCCGGCCCCTGAGGTGAAGGCTTGGTTTGGCTGCCTCGAGCCGCCAGCAGTTGAGTGAAGAGTGCTGGCTCTCTAGCTGGAAGCCAGGGCGTTTCTTCTGGAGCCATTTTGGGTATTCACCACACTGGTGGCGGGCCCCGTCGGGCCCCCAAGTGCTCCACGGTGCTCAATGTTGGAGCCCGCCATTTACAACGTAACACACCAAGCGGCTGCATAAGTGACGGCAAGCACCTGGTAATCCTTCACGCTTCGCGCATCCCCACCAGCCAAGATGCATCAGCTTCCCTGGGCGTTGCAGACCAGCCATCCAGTTCCACCAGCCGCTGCTGCACCTCAGCCGCCGCTTCTGAGTGCTGGCCCGGCCGGCTTGCGTGCCGCTTAGTAGCTAATTAGGCTGGCCCGTGCCCCGGACCCCCTCTCGCCGCCTGCCCTCTGCTGCGCGGCCGCGACAAAAAAGTATCCCCACCAGCCCGTCCAGAATCCTTGCCCACGAGAGCTGACGGGAAAAGGGACGACGAGACACATACAGTGGAACAACGCGGGCCACCAGGATGGACAGGCAGATCTCTGGGAGCACGGGGGGTGGCCTTGGGGAGGACCTCTTCGGGCCACCCCTGGGGCCCGCGGGACGGGCGAGGGGAGGAGGAGGAGGAGGAGGAGGAGGAGGAGGCAAACCTGCTCTTGGGGCCCTCGAAGGACGCTCGTGGGGCGCTCGTGGGCGCCCTTGGGGCCCTCTTAGGCCCTTCTTGGGGTCCTCTTGGGGCCCCGCTGGGGGTCCCATGGGAGCCCTGGATGACCTCTTGAGGCGGCCATCTTGGTGGCCATCGATCAAAGAAGGGAGGTCCGAGCCCCCCTCCCCCCCAAGAGCTCGAACTCGCCTCTTGGGGCCCTCTTGGGGCCGGCTGGGGGACCTCGCTGGCCCCTCTTGGGCCTCTCCTGGGCCATCTTGAGGCTTCAGAAGCGCATCGGAAGCGAACATGCAAGAAGGCACGCATCATCATTGATGCTCCTTATATGTTTGAAGGGTTTGGGCCTCTCAGTGGGGGTGGGCTCGGAGGGCCTTGTCGAGATGTTCGAGGCCGAAGTCGGCCTCAGGTCAGTCACGTCCGCCCTCATCCTGGATCGGGACCCTGCATTCTGCGGGCCAGTGGTCCCCATCGTCCGCTACGCCAGGTGAGTCTGGATTTGGAGGCTTCGGAGTTTCATGCCAGTGTACGCTTTCCTGGGCCGAGCTCCGGGAGTTTTGGGACACTGTGTTCCTTTCGCCTGGGCCAGAAGATTCGAAGAAAGTGGCGGGACCCTTGTCTACCACGAAGCTGAGTTTGCACAGGACAGGCTGGTCCATGCCAGCACCCAGTACGGTCGTGGATCGGTTTGGCGCCGAGGTGCTACCGTTCCCCTTTTGTCCAGCTATTCTGAAGAGTTACATGGGGCAAGTTGTACAGCTTGTTCACGTGTGCCGATCTGGAAGTAAGTCTGTGCCTCGCCTTCGACAGCCCGACCGTGTTCGTCATGGCCAGGTCTGAGCGATGTCGCAAGAGATGCGTTTCTGCCCATATCGCAAGGGTTGCATCAAAGCACCATGCTTCGACGCGGTACGGACGCACACACCAGTTGCTTGAAATGGCTTGTCTTTTCTGCCGTGCGGCGGAGGACTCAATTATACACCGGCTGGCTCTCGAAGTGTCCATCAGTTGAAGAAGAAGTGCGTGAATTCCTGAGCAGACACAGTACTGTTCGACCGCCTGAGGACTGCACGTTCGAGTCAGACCCTGGTCAGTTGCTTCTGATTACTCGGGGTCTCTATGAGCATCCTGGTGATTATCTTCCACGGCCAGTTGCTATGCATCATGCAGTCGCCAGCGGGTTAGCAGTTACGTGTCATCAAGACCCCAGCGCACCTCAACCGAGTTCCATTGGCTAATTTTCGTGGACGGTTCGTGTACTAGGGAGGTCTACTGAGCTCTCCAGGGTGGGGTGGTCGTTTGTAATGCTTCATGCTCCA